CGAGAGGACCGACCGTGACGCGTCCCCAGCACGCGCTGGCTCTGCGGCCCGCTTATGTTTCTGCCAGTTCCCAATAGTTGAATGGAATCAGGGTTAATTGTATTTCCCGGGCTTAATGCGGGCTAATGTAACGGTGGGTCTGCCGAAAGTCAAAGTTGTTGTAGTGTTCCCGGCTATTTCATGGTAATTGAAATATCAATGATTGAAAACTAGTATGTAGAAGGCAGCAATTCAATTCTAAGTTGGTAAAAACAATCCAAGTTTCGATAAAGGATCCCAAAGACAGCAATGTCATGGTTGACATCACCAGTCATCAGCCCTTATAAAAAACTTTTATTCAGGCTAGTACATACATGGATTGACCAGTGAATGTCGAGTTATTTATCATATGCTGAATTTCATGCGCTTATTGGACAGGGACACGCAATTGATCAGTGATTCTTTGACACACGGCTAAATGATATTTTTCTGCTCCACACTAACACGAGGCAGAATCCCAAATAGCAGAGGCATTATTTTCTGTACATACAGGCTATGCCATCATTAGATCAGTCAGTCGTACTCGTGACACGTCATAATATTATGCGTGGCAAATATACGACGTGGCCCAATGATGCACCTGCGACTGGTCTTTAATAGCCAGGGGGCCGTTTTATCGGATGCCACCTATTTGTCACTGGTTATGGTCTGTCAAGACGTCGCAGCAGCTACCACGGCAGTCACCATTTGTCAGCAGTTCAGCGGGTCAAGATGGACAGCAATTAGAGATGTGGTCACGGGGGTGTCCTGCATTGATTGTCATTCTGATTCCCGCCGTGCATCCGAATGGCCCTACTTTCCTGGCATTATGTAGGGTAGTTAAGGCTTTGATAGGAATTCATTACGACTTGCCAGGCGGTGTTAACGGACTAAAGGTGCGCTAAGTAAACAGTCAGGGTACCTATGTTAATTACTTCACCAACACAAGGCGGCCGGCGAATCTTTACCACGCTAAGATAACAACGCACTCTACTGTTTTTGACTAGCGCCTCGTAATTCCCGTGAAAATACAACTATTTAAGGCAATATGATATGTGCAAAAATATGTATGTTTGACAACTATCAAATTGCATAATCCTCAACTGAAAATAAATAGATAAATGCTACGAGTGAGCTAGCGCAAATTTTTTCAATGCCACTGAAGGCATGGATTGACTTGCGGTCTTTTTTTAGTAGCCCCATTCCTTCTACTCCAATATTGACTATTCTTGATGCATCTAAGTGACGGTCGCGTAGCGGCACTTATCGCTTCGAACGTTATTGCCTTTCTTGCGGACAAGCCAATCACCATTCGCACTCCACCTCACGTTTCCTTTCCCAGGCTGGCGGTCACGGTGGTGAGGCCAGCCTCGTTGGATTTCGCCCTTTCCGGAGCGGGCTTTTGGGCGGCAGGGCGGACTTTGGCTGTCCCATCGGGTCTCGAGACATTCACAACCCATTGCATCGGTCAGCGGAATTTCTCCATAGGATAGGCCATGTAGTGTAGCCTTTTGAACAGTCAACCCGGAAGGACATGTTCATACCATGGAACTATCCACATTCCGTTATTCATCCTGTTTCCTGGGTAGTGGATAGATAGATGGGGCCTGGGGAAGGGTGACCGTAGCACGCCTGCGAATGCGTCAGCGCTGAGCAGAAAAGTGAGAAAAAGGATAAGGATGAAATGGTGCTGGTCCGGCCTTGACTCTGAGGGTAAGGAAGAATGGAAACCGTTTGATGTGAAGGTATTATGCAAATTATTAACTCTCGCCGGTCGAGGCGGGGGGAGAGGGGGCGGGTGCCACCCCCATTGTTTTTTGTTTTTGTTTTTTTTTTTTTAGCTCCGAACACGCCAGCGATATACACTGAAAACAATTTAACCCAAGGCCCGCGAGTAAACCGGTGTTTTGCGGGTACCCCTATCCGCAACCATTTTTGACCACCCTCCCAGGAGTACAGTAAGGTCCCATTGCAGTGTAGTCGTCCCTGCTCTCAGCGGACTTGTTCGCTGACAGCGGTTATATCCGCTCAGAGCAAGTACGACTACACCGCAATGGGACCTAGCACTACTCCTGGGAGGGTGGTTAAAAATGGTTGCGGATAGGGGTACCCGTAAAACACCGGTTTACTCGCCAGCCTTGGGTTAAATTGTTTTCAGTGTAGAGAGCTGAAGCTTGACATACCTGGCATTTGATTCAAGCCAGATCTTGTGATACCAACCGCATCTTCAGGCCAACTCAGGTCGCTGACCTATTGGGTATGTAGTATGTACGTCATAATTGAACCTCTGCAAGGTCTTAAGATGTTGCAGCTTCGCAACGTTCTCTGTGCCACAGGAACTTTTACATGTGGAGATGAAGCTTATAGGATGCAGTACCCATAGCAGGGCCTCCTCTAACATGTTAACTGGGGGGGGGGGGCGCGGCCCCCCCCCCCAGTGATGCCGCTGCCCCCCCCCCCCAGTGGAGCTGAAATCGCGTCACTGGGGGGGGGGCACACAGTTAAACCAATAATGTAGAAAAATGAGGAAATTTCACTAAAAGCGTACCACACAAACAATCCAGATTCCAGACTATCTCCACGATCACCACGTTACTAATTTTAGTTTTCTTATACCTACCGTTGTTTTTTATCTACAAAGAACATTTCACATCTGCATGTTGCCTAAGATGAGCCACGGAATGAGGTCAGACAATGCAGTTTTTTATAATCGAACACCGACTGAAGCCCGAACGGGGCATGGCCATTGATGAATTCCTTTGAGAAGGAAGCGTCCCGGAAGGTCGCCCTCTCAATCAGTCAAACGCTCACGCTTCTTGACACGGAGAAGGACTATTTTATTCGGGAGACGGGTTCATTCTTGAAGAGGAAATCTTGCTACGGTCAAATGAGAACGCGGCGGAGCACGGGAAAAGTTTTTATTCCCCGGTGTTTGGGACTGGAAGCAATAAGCCCTCACACTTATTGAGGGGTTAGCCGTTAGATAGACCCACCCCTAGGGTTTTCGTAAATAACTCACGTAAAAAGTGGCCCAGCGTGGCAAAACTTTTAGTACCTATTCTTGTGATTATCAATTGGCTGCACATTTCCTGAAATGACCCTGGTCCCTAGCCTTCATTACTATTGACCTGTGGCCTGTTTCTTAAGTCATTTTCAGGCAGGTAGCTTTTTAGGATAGTGAGCTGTTTTCAGGCAGGTAGCTGTTGGTTAATGGATTCCAGTGTTAGTGGGAAAGATTGACCCTCACACTTTTAGCGGTTGGTTAGATTCCTGACGCACTACGTGCCGTTTAATACAATTTTCCTATAATATAGGGATTTTGTTTTATTCTCGAAAGTCGAAAAGCCAGAAATTTTCGTCGATTTCGGACGTTGACGGGATCGTTAGGTACCTAAAATGTGACCCTGCCGCCTGGATCCACCAGTAGTGTGACGTAGCCTACCATTTCTTGAATATTTTTTTTTCAAATTAAAAATTTAAATCATGGTATCAGGGCTGTGACGAAAAATAAGTGGCCTAAATCCGATGAGAAAACTGGATTTGGGGGTACCCTAGGTTTGACTTCTGAGCCTCTGCCCCCCCCCCCCCCAGTGAAAATTCCTTAGAGGAGGCCCTGACCCATAGTATCCTCCAGAGGTCTCACAAGTCACAACTTAGAAGTTATATGTCTCGGATCTCAAACTATCTCAAGCACAGGGAATCATGATTTCATGCACTCCTAGCAAGGTCCGATGCTTCACTTTGGCATCATTGGAGTTTTTTCGCCAAAAACTCTCTGTCAAAGCTAGCGAGTCCGGAAAGCCACCAATGGACTCGGCCGGGAACACCTGCCGAAACGATATGCGATGTGACCTCCTTCGACCAGCTTCGTGATCTGGGGGCTCTGATCTGACCTTGACCCGAGGTCAACACCTAAAGTTGACCTCACCCAAACAAAAAGTGTCTATACCATTCGACGTGACTGAGCGAGTCGAACACGATGATGCCGAAATCGCTGCGCTGCAACCGTTTTTTCGAAGTTATTTATCAAAAACGTAGCGCGTGGCGTACCTAGTTCACTTAGTGAACTCAGAGGTAATCGGTTGACTTGAGACCAATCGGGTACCAGTCGCTGCGTCTCGTAACCGTAACGGCGCACACGCTCGTTTTTTCCGCGACGCTCTAGCTTCATCAGGGGCGAAACGGCGGGGTGGGCAGTAGCGGCGGAACACCCTCAATTAAGGGGGGGGGCACTGCCGACTTTTGGTCCCCGTCTTTCCATGCAACGCCCATAGGGCTAATGTTAAAATGCCAAAATCAAAGGGGGGCACGGTGCCCCGGTGCCCTCCCCGTTCCGCCGCCTATGGGGGTGGGGGTGGGGGGTGGGGGGAAGAGTACCAATTCCCCATCCCCCTCGGCCGGCGCGTATGTAGAAAACCAGTAGGTCCGGCGAGCGTTATGAACAAACACAGCCGGACTTTGTCAATATGACGTTTATCCATCTGAGAATGGCTCGTATTTGGACCCCATTTATTTCTCGGCAGCCTACTTGCCAACTGCCACTCGTCAACAAGGTCCGAAATGGCACGAATTTGTAATGCATCCCTCGACACGGGAAAAACCAAGGCTTCCGTAGACCGTATTACTACCTACATAAATTTACAACATTCCTAGGTATTGCCATTTGCCAAGATTCCTAACCATTCCTAACATTCCTATAGAAACTATCAAGATTACTTCAACGTAAAAGGATGGTAGTAAATTTTAGGCAGATTCTGCGGGCATATGAACGACAAACCCTGCGCAGCTGCGGCGTAATTTTTCCAGAAATAATGTTCTTTCTTTGGGATTTATGCTGATTATTTAGGGACATATGACTTCGGATGAAAAGTCATACTACTCGCTCATTGGTTCAAAAATCCATCATCAGCACTAGCGATCAATCGGACTTATTGCGCTGAGAACAAGTTCGAGAATACAGTGGCCACCTTCACTTATAACTTGTGCAGCTGCACGCTGAGTGCACGGCGCACGTGTGTGTCAGTGTCACTGAACTCGTCAGTGTGTAAAGTGGTGTCGTATGTCCAAGTGAACCAAGTGTTTATCAATTATCATAACTTGATTCGACTTTATATTCCTAATTGCATTTTATTGGGATTTTATTTCTAGGTATGTCCTCGTTCTAGCCAGGAATGAGTGGACGGCCAAGGGGATCAGTCGGGGGAGGTTTGGTCAATCGTTGTCATTTTTAGCACGTGCTATTTTTGTCACACGTGCTAAAAATGACAACGATTCTGCTATTTTTGACAACGATGAGGCCGATTTCACTCCTCAGCGAGGAAATGAAGATTTTGGAAAGATAAACACTGATTTTGGAAAAGAAGTGCTGCCACCTGGTGCAAGACGAAGAATCCAGCTTTAATATGCCTGTTATTTGTATGGTAGTTTGTTTTGTGGCCTGAAGTTGGAACTTAAAATTGAAGCATCCGAAAATGATCGATATTGATCGAAAACATGATGTTGATGAAAAAAATAATATTTTAAGTTGAGAGAAGGCCATTTTATCCAGATGCAGTAGTTTACTTCTTGAAATTATTTTTGCTAATGACGGCTGCTAATTATCCCTCATTACATGGCAGTCGTCGTAAGCAAAAATAATTTCAAGAAGTAAACCACCGCATCTGGATAAAATGGCCTCCTCTCTCAACTTAACATATTATTTTTTTCATCAACATCATGATTTCGATCAATATCGATCATTTTCGGATGCTTCAATTTAAAGTTCCAACTTCGGGCCACAAAAAAGGGTATACTTCAACGTTGGACTACCATACAAACAACGGCCATATTAAAGCTGGTTTCTTCTTCTTGCACCAGGTGGCAGCACTTCTTTTCCAAAATCAGTGCTTGTATTTCCAAAATCGTGATTTCCTCGCTGAGGAGTGAAATCGGCTTCATCGTTGCTAAAAATAGCTGATAGCGTTGTCATTTTTAGCACATGGTTGCCAAAAATGGCATGTGCTAAAAATGACAACCATTGACCAAACCTCCCCCAACTGGGATAAGCTAGCAGTAGCGTCAGCCTGCATCAGGGAACAAGGGCTTACCAACTTGAAAAGTTTGTGCTTGCAAAAGTAAAATGTTTCAACCTACCTAGTAGAAATTGTTCATGTCCACTCGTTGAATATAGCCCAGTTTCTATGGGCACCTATGATTCGGATCAGCAAAAGTGGATTAGCTAATCCATTATAGCAGCCAATAGGTATGCCTATGAAAATTGAAATAAGGAATTCACTGATTGTATGAGCCTAATCCACTCTGAATTATAGCCTGTAAAAAGAGTTTTAGAAATATTATATGATTTAAATTTGCTGATCCGGATCATGAGTGGCCATGGAAACAGGAAAGTGGCCATGGAAACAGGAAAGGTGGTCTATGTTTCCTATCGACCATTTATCTTGCCAGAATCGTGCATCGTACCACAACAGTTGAGCATGTCCTTAGGTATAGACTAAAGAGGGCATTGTGGGCTGCGCCAATTTGATCTGTGCAAAATATGTGTGCACAGCACAATGTCATTTTCATGTGCATCCTGCTGGAAATCTGTATCCTGCAATACCACAAATTAAGCACCAGCTGAGTTACCTACCCCATTAATATGCTAAAGACATAAGCTTTATCACAGTGTGACTGTGAGTGCCCAGTTCTGGTTGACCCAACTTTCATAAGATTGAGATCTCATCAAATGACCATTCTTTGTTGCCAGGTGCCATGCCTGGCCAGGCCAGTGGTGTTTGACACATAAGTTTAGTCTGACTTTGATTTTTCTTACAATTAGCTTTTTTTACCTTCCTTGCTGAAACTTTTCACTGACACGTTTCAGGTAAATCTTTGCCTGAACAAGTCACTGAAATTCAAGACTTGAGGATGGCATCAGGTTCTGCCAGACATCCTGTATTCAGGGAATGTGTGGAGAGACACTTCAAGACTTGGTCTTCACTTCAGGTAGGTACTTCCTAATGATATCCCAGTTTTCAAAAAGTATTGTTTGAATCCAGAGTGGACATTGTTAGAGAGCTTCTGCTTGGTACATCTTTTTATAATATGTGCTGTTTCAAAATTCATGCAGTTCTTTCTGTTTTGGGTGTTTTGGTACTTAAGGTGCAAAATATGTATATTGTATCAGTATATTAGACCTAACTTATGTACTGCTTATATGTAGTCACTACTCACTAACCATTAGTCATCAATGTTTTAGAATTTTCCTTATTTGCTATGAATTATCAAAGTTATTCATCACCTATTATTCTTTTTATTTGCAGCTTGCCTTGCGAGAAGTTATGCCTGGTCCCATTGGATTAGAGTTCTTCTCCTGGCTCATAGATTCAACAGAAACCTTCTTTTATGAGAATGGTGAGTTTTTCCACCATGTTATCTTACCGTTTCCACCTAGTGAGTAACTCAGTAAACGATTTAATAAGATTAACAATTTTTATTTAACTCTGTGTCAGACTTAAAATGGAAATATTTAATTCGCACCTCATAATTATGAAAGTGCTTGCAGTCACATTGTTCTTTCCTGTGCAGAACTGTGCTTCTTCATGCAGAATAGATTTAAAAGTTTACTTGTAATTCCTCTGAGTATATCTGCTGTTATGTACCCCACACAAAAACCGAATGTCTAGCTATTCCCTCCTGCACCGACGTCCCCAACTAACCTTCCCCTCCCTCCCCCAGCGGACCTATACCCGGACGAAGTGACCGACTTTCTGGCGGAGATTCTGAACACGGAGCTGGACACGTGGATCGAGGACGGCTCTCTGGAGCTGGTGTGTGGTGCCCTGTGCAGCGGCTTCCGCGCCTGTGCCGCCGGCAGGGCCGAGGAGGTGACTTCCGAGCTGGCCAAGCTGCCGGCGCCCGCCGACCTCAGCGGACACAGACAGGTACGGGGCAGGAGAACGCAAACCTGGGAGGAGCCTTACACACACAGATAGTAACTACCCACTCTGACCGACCTCAGCGGGGCACAGACAGGTACGGGACGGGACTGGGAAGCCGGGAGTCCTGTGAGATGTCCCAGCGGGCACAGACGGGTTAGGTGTCTCAGGAGTCACAAACCGGCACGGGAGGGGAGAGGTGAACACTGAACAGACAGGTACGGGGAAGAGTGGTGTCCCAGTGAACACAGACAGGCATGGGGGCCGGGTGATGCACCAGCGGCCACAGTGTCTCAGCTCAGACAGGTACATTACAGATACATACAGGGAGAACGCAGTGCTGGGAGGAGCATGAGTACACACACAGAGCGTAACTACTAATTACCCGTGTTGGCCGACCTGAGCAGCCACAGTCCCGCCTGGTTGGGAAGCCAGGAGTTATGTGAGATGTCCCAGCGGGCACATCTCGGGTGCGGTGTCACAGCCGTCACAGACAGGTACCTATGGGGCGGGAGAGGTGATCGGACGGGGAGGCACGGGGAGGAGTGGTGTCCTTAGTGGACCACGGGGTGGTGTACCGGCGGTGCCAGCGGCCACGGAGTCTCAGACGGGTACTTTACTGACACAGACAGGGAGAACGCAGTGCTGGTAGGAGCATGAGTGGCGAGTACACACATAGAGGGTACTTAACGAGTAACTACTCAAGCCGGGCGACCTCAGCGGGCACAGACAAGCACCTACATGACGAGGAAGCCGGGAGTTTGTGAGATGTCCCAGCGGGCAAAGACAGGTGCGAGGTGGAAAGCTGCTAGCTGATGTGCACACTGCATAGCAATGTCTTGAAAGTTCGAACTCTTTGTTTATGATAATTTTTTAGATGAAAACCTAGTCGCACATCAGGACTTGTTGGCAGGGCGCAGGCGCTTGTATGAATAGTGTTCGATATATCCCGGAGATACTGTAAAAATTGGGATCGAATGCCTTTCTCTAATAATCGTAGTTGGTCAATCTCGTTAATTAGGTATGCCTCAATCTGGCCTAGAATACGACCAATTGACCGTAAATTATGCTCGTCGCCATTGATTATAGAGTTCGTCTCGTACCGGCTCTCACCACTGTATAGCTGGGAGGTCCGACTTTCTCAGAACTGAGATGCCCGACTCTACCACAACTGGGATTCGGAAGCTCGTGCATGTCATCCCCCCGTGGCAGAATCTTCGGAAAGGCGTGATGATATATGACCTCCTTAATAAACATTGGCGGCCAGAGCGGTTAGTGTTGTTTTCAGCGCGGCGCTGGTTTATCGGTCCCAGCTGTTGCTGTTATCCACATAACTCACTTTTTCTGAAAGCTCATTTCCATTATCGCGTAGCTCGGAACATAATTCTAAAGTGTCCCGCTTCAAGTGGTGCCGGTCTCTAGAAACTTTGTGGTGCCATTCCTTGGACAATTATTGTCTATAACAATAATGTACTCTTACATGATGTGTATGTAACAATCACTCTACCAAAGTTGACAATGTCAAGTAATTTCAGCTCTGAAATATACAACCAGTATAGCGCCTTTTGGGGCGACTAACGGAGCGAGCGAGGGGGTGAGTCTTGCACGTGCGAAATTTCGAGGGGGTACCTCCAACTGACTTGTGCACGGCACCCTACTGACCGGTTTCTAGCGATGTGCCAAATTTTAGCACAATCGGCCCAGCCGTTCTCGAGATCTGGGAGCGGCACCCTGCACGTGCGCACGTGCAAAATGGGTCCCAACTGACTTGTGCACGGCACCCTACTAACTGGTCCCTAACCGTGTACCAAATTTGAGCGCCATCGGTCCAGCCGTTCTCGAGATCTGGAAACGACCCCTGCACGTGCGCACGTGCAGCAGCACCCCAACTCTGGCACATGGATATGCAGTGCCTAGTGGGTGCCTACCTACGTGCCAACTTTGAGCGCAATCGGCCAAGTAGTTACCGAGATATTGCAACAATTGCAAAACTGACACCTCTTCGTTTTGCACGTGGCACGTGCATAAGGGGTCACCCACATGCATCGGGAATAGTCCAATACTTGGTAGAAGGAATGAAGCTACCGTACAAAAATTACCGCATGTAAATCGGTCAAGTGGTTGCTGAGATATAAGCCCCGCAAAAGCGTCCGCGCGGCCGGCCGCTCATACTCAGAAATTTCCGTTAATCTAAGGAAAGACTACGCTCGCTTCGCTCGCTCCGTAATAACTCATTGGTCATCTGAAATCATAGCGTTCTTGTTTGTCTGTCTGTTTATTTGTTTGTTTGTTTGTTTGTTTGTTTACTTGTTTTTGTGTTAGGCCCTTTCGGTCTGACAAGACCATTTCAGAGCCGGAAGGATGATAGGAATTAGGGGGAGACATTGGTCTGAGCAGGCACCCTAGTGAGTCACCGAGGCTCAGCCCGTCCCGAAGGACAGGCCGACCAGCCCCCCAAGCACTCTCTGCACCTGGCTACGGGTGTGCCTCCCTGGCTGGGAGTAGCGGTGCCGCTCCAAGGGAGCAGCCCGCCTGAGATAAAGCTGCTTGTCCAGCCTGGACCGAGGGTTGCGGAGTGAAGGAGAAGGATATAAATGTCCTGAGGATGGAAACGACGGACGGGTGAACTTTCTTGTCATTGTATGGTACGTTTTGTTCGCCATTCCATGTCAATAACATGTCATTTGGCTTCTTCCGGCAGGCCCCAGCTGTGAACCCTGACGACGACGATGAGTCCCCTGCGGCGCCGGTGACACCAGGGCCGTCCCGACCCGCCGCGCGCGATCCTCCACAGTCCGAGTCAATGCAAACAGACGAGGATGGCTGGACGGTGGCCCGGAAACGACGGTAGCGCCGCCCGGCGGACTCTAGGAAGGTAAGCTTTCGGCCCTGCCGCCGGATGGCGCTGTTAATCACCCTGTGAGGGAGATATCTCCTGGGAACAGGGAAGGTCGCCGTTCGGCTCGGATGGCCAGAGGTGGTCAGCGGCGTCAGGCTTCAGTGGATTCGTGGCGTCGTCACCGAACTGTTACAAAAGTACCGAAGCACCAAATGACTTCAGCAAACGTGCGGGCGAGCGGTGACCGTTGCGTCAACGCGCGTGCGACTCGTACTTTCATCGTGGGCCGAATGTCGGGGACATATTGTTCTCGATGCGGTTGGTAATCGTGTTTGGATTGCCTTTGATGTGAAACGTGACTTGCTTGTTGGTGCCCTCTGAATGCTGTGTTTGTCGTGTGCCGGGTACTTTGAGATGCACGCGTGCGTGCGATGTTGGCGTTGCAATGCTTGAAATAGGGCCCGTGTTGTAATATTATCTGAATGTGTTGTGGTTCCATGCCAACGGGACGAGTTGTTTTTGCTTTTACGAGAATACGGGCTAGAGGCTAGAATACCAGGTAAATGCTGGTGGTTTCTATCGTTTGTAGCTATGTTCCAGTGACATCCAACATATTTGCTTTAAAACTTGGCTATTTCTATCCCTAAAACATGGCGGTATAAGTCTCAGGTGGCAGTATAAAGCTTGATAGTTGATACTGCAGCGCAAGCAGTTTGAGGCGCTAAAAGAGCACGCAACATTGGTTTGCATGCATCGCGATGGTATTTCTCCAACTTGCTTCGTGGAACGTGCTTCGTCTTAGGCCCCGTGGAATGTGCCGATTGAAATGTGCTCATTGAAATTTACTCGTGGAATGTGTTCGGTGGAATGTGTTCTGTGGAATGTGCTCCGTAGGATGGTCTCTGTGAAATTTTGTAATACCAACTACCGCCAATCATGAATATACGATAACAGAACAGAGAAACGTCTGCGTGACGGAAGGTGGTGCTCAAGTTCAAAACGTTACGTCAACCTGTCGTTGTTTTGGATATTTATTTTAATTGCGGGAACCATTTTTTAAGCCTGAAAATGTTAATTCGGGTGAAGGTGGAACGCATACGTGGTTTCGTCAGTGCCGGTGCAGGCGACACAATAGGTGCAGGAAGTAGTAGAATCCGAAGCGCATTATGCACTATGCAGAATACGGATACGCTTTTGCATGCGCTGTGACTCTATTTTCCATTCATGGGTGTGTTTAGTGTATATACAAATACTCTTACAAGTATTTGTACAATGTGCAATAATTGTGTGACAGTTGTTTCATGTCAACCTCGGCAAAAGTTATCAATCATATGGGCAGAAGATATAACCTTACTTGGGTTAAAAATGTCAGCGATTTTGCCTCTCTTTTCCTCTGACGCTAAAACGTTATGGCTAACTTTTCTCTAGGTTAACGCAACAGCGCGGCGGCTGAACAGTGTGAAGTGCCTTTTGACATCTCCGTGGTCTTGTGTAGGTAATACCTATAACGCGTGTTGTATTGCCGGAATAAAGAGGAAGTATTGGACCTTTCAAGATCGCCGGACGCGGCTGTCTGCGCTCATCGATTTCATCTGACTTGAAGCGGCCATATTCATTGTCCGCAGAACATCTAGTCGGGAGCACAAGCAGCGAAGCGACCCTAATGGAACTCTCACTACTGGCTGGCTAAGCGCATGAACGTTCTTTTAAGGGGCTTCGAGGACCTGTAGTACCCGTACAACCATTAGTAAGATCATAGCTTCGACAAGTGTCTTTCATGGTAAGACTTCCCAGAAGCAGGATGAGAATCATGCATACATGACTGGTGCTCATTGGTATTGTAGCCCGGTTTCTACTGATTGGCCAAATAATTAGTGGCTTTTTACCGTCTCGATGTTATGTCGCCGTCTTATTAATTGATTTGTGGGCGAGGGCTGATACAGAAAGCTTTCGATTTTTTTCTGTCGTTCTGAAGAGAATTGCTATGTTCGGAGCTTCGTTACCTCATGGACCTTTACATGAACCTTTACCATGGACCTCATCGAACCTTATTTGGCCACAAAATTTACGAATGTTGTGGCTAAATTAGAGGAGTTTGTCACAATATGCTAGCATTGCTCAATTGTAGTGGAAGGCGCTCTTGTTTATGGGTATGTCAGTCTGGGTTTACTCGGGCGTTCCCCTTCTCCCAAAGTATCAGTGTGGCTAAATTCATTTTACGTTAGGGGGAGGATGTAGAAAAAAGGCCGGAAAGGATGTCGTTATTTTCATAAAATTTGACTTCGACCCTTTTTAAGCACTGTTTTTATACATGTACGAGAAAATGATGTAGAAACTGAACTTTGAGGGCATTCTGATATTCGGGATGTTAAATGAGGTTTTTAACCCGCGAGTTGCTGGGGGGCGTTAAACGCCCCACTTTTTTCGCCGGGCCATAGCATAAAAACGGCGCGTCGCAGGCGCGCCAAATTTTGCGTACCTGTAGGGAATTGATTGAAGTTTATTGTGACAAAGTTTCAAAAAAATCGGTCGGAAAATTTTTGAGATATCGAGATTTTAGTGACGTCATGATTTCTGAGTTTTCCACCAAAAACAGCATATGTTCAAAAAATCATATAAAATCACAGAATATACATACAGACATGCCGTAAACGCCACTACACTGCCAATACCATGATCAATCAAATGGCTATCTTCGATTATTGATTACCGTTCCGCATTTTCCATAATCTTGAACTGAATCTTGGCAATTTCTCGTGACTACTTCACAACCATGATGCATGTATTTCTTAAATTGAACTTTTTGAGCCAAACACGCACACACATGATAAAATGAATGTCACCATCGTGTTCTACGCCCCAAATTACCTATAAAACATGTGTCACAGGCTGCGAATATCAGTTTTGATTTTCGGGGATATGTGCCTACCTACGGGGTTGACCTGACCTTGACCCTGACCTATGCTTGACTGACCCCTACATGGAGCTGACACTCTTGTAGGCCTTTTATGATGGATTGTGCACCGTTTTGACAGAGTTTATGACGAGAGGCGCCCATTGCGTCCTGAAGTCCATGCTACTGAAAGCCCGATTTCAGGTGTTTGACCTGACCTTGACCCGACCTGTGACCTCAAAATTCAACTTTTAAGTACTCATCTGAAGCGTCTCGTCGCGTTCTTTCGTTTGCCGCCTCGTGCGTTTCGCTGCGCCTATTGGTTCTCGAGTTATCGGCTGAGGGCGTCTAACGCCCCCCCCCCCCCCCAGCAAACGGTGGGTGGCGAAATACCCCAGCAACTGCCGGGTTAAGTCGGGTCATATATTTTATCATTTTGGTTATTCGAATGGTTGTCTTGGCGTGTTGTCAGAGTTTGCGAGGTTTGTGTTTCTCTTGCTCCTAGAGGTTTGGGTTCGAGGTTGTTATTATAAGTCGTGACTGCCGTGTGGATGTTTTTATTGATATTTTTAGGATGTCATTATGCTTTTCATTATGGGTGGATTTCCCCGCAACATTACGATTTTGGACACACTGCAAAGTATCATGAATGTGTGTTAACTAATGCGAATGCGAATTAATTATTGCGCGATAAAGTGATTTGGATTTACAAACAATGCATAGAAGTAGGTAGTTTAGACTCCAGCTATCTCAGGTAGATGGTACGTTTTGATTGGTGTACGATTGTTAATGGCCGATAACCACTATTTCAATCGACACCCTCTATATTCGCAACATTGTTCGTTCCTTTTCAACCGTGATCCATTGTTTCTCATTTTGCAACTCATTTATCTCGAGAGTTGTTTGCTCTGTGTGTCTTGTCCAAAACCTGTGGTGCGTTTTCAAGATGTATTTTGATAGCAAGAATACCATCCAAACGCTCTCAATCATGGACAACTTGCATCACAATCAACCAAAAATACGATTCGTTGTACAAGGCTGAGTACCTGCAGATCACTAGCGGGCATGCACTACTCTGCATAACAGTAACTAATTCGAAGAGAAACCTGCTGACAATACTGTAATTATTCCGCCACGCTACGTAACATTTCCGCTCAGTTTACACCAATACGTAACAACAATGAAAGACATGGAGTGGTGGTAAAGGACCTCTGGTGCCGCTGGACAAGACGCACCCCGGACCTCCCTCCCTGAAGAGGTCTCCTCTGCCCTGTGCCGGCGTCCCTCACACTACTCCCATGTCCCGCAGTCCCTGAAATACGTCCCCCTCGTAACTCGGCCGACGTTTACCGGAGGCCGGTGCCGCTCTCTCGGCGCCAGTACCGGATCGTCGACACGACGGTTGGGCCGCTTTTTGTACGGGGACCCGCAGTTGCTACTGTACAGCGACCCTGAGTAAATTGTCCCAGCACCCTCACAGGGAACAACGATAAGCTGTCAGAGGGCACGCACAGAAAACCTCAGCTGCTCTTGTGCAGGGACCGGCAGTCGATATCAATGTTATCGGTTGTTACTGGACAGGACAGACGGCTAGAGTTGGGGTTGGTGTACAATAGCAACTGCGGGTCCCCGTACAGACCGGTGCGCGACCGAGCGTGACTCGTGCCCGGATGGCCCGGCCTGCGTCACTTTTCCCCGTCTGAGAGTGAAAGTCGGGCGGCGGCGGCGGCGGCCGGCCCTGGACTTTCTCCGACAGCCCCTGAACAGGGCCGGCCCCGATCTGATGGGCCCGGCCGAGGGAGACAAAGAGTTACAGGAGAAACTCACTGATGAATGGAGGCGACGGCGGCGCGGCCGCGGCGCCCGGACGCTATGATCATGACGATGTTTGAGCGGGGTCAGATGGGCCGGGCGGCCGGAGCTCAGAAGGTTGCCACCATCGGGTCCTCGGGTTCCGGCTCGGTCGACGGCCGGCTCTCCAGACTCGCCTCTTTCTGTCGCTGACGGCGCAGCCTCAGTCGCTTGTCTTTCAACACGCGTTTCTTGACGTGGCTGGTGCCGTGGTCAGGCAGTCGGTCGGCCTGCACGTCGTTTGAGATATCAGACAGGATCTCCTGAATATTGGCTGCCTGGCGAGGTCGATTCTCATCTTCCCCGCTCAATTCAACCTCACTCTCTTCCTCTATCTCCACTCCGTCCGCTGTGCTGTGGATCTCAGACGTACCGGCCTCCATGCTGTTATCAGCAGATGCTCTGACAACGTCCGTGCTCGTCTCTGACGTGCTCATACGTCGCTCGGGCACCGCCAGGCTGTAGGCCGGCTCGGAACCGTGTGCGAACTCGGCGAAGTCCCTGAAGTTGTCGATGATGTCCGGCCGCCGGTCCGGGTACGGCCGCGCCGACAGGTGGTTGTCGAGGTAGCTGTAGTCGTCGACGAACGATCCGCCGCGGAGGATGATGTAGTTACCGGAGCCGAGCAGGCTGGAGCGCTCCTGGGCCGGGAAGGGCTCCCGGAATCCCTCCAGGAAGCCGGGCCGGGGCGAGGTGGGAGAGGGGGCCCGCGCCGGGGGCCGCGGCGGCGGCGGCGGCAGCACCGGGTGACGAGCCTCGTCGAACGGCGCGCGGTACGGCACAGGGCTGAGCGGCAGTTGGTAGCGCCCGCCGCCGCCGCCGCTCGGGCCGGGGTCGTGCCGCTCGTGTACCGGGTACGCCGGGTACGTCGGGCCGTGGTGGGAGTGTCGGCGGGCGTCCCGCCAGCCGCCGCCGCGAGGGAACGGCGCCGAGCGGCGGCTCCTCCGGGTCAGCTGAAAGGGGTGTTCAGTCACTGGAGTAGTGTGGGGGAGGGGCGCAGCGCCGGCTCTGGCACCTGAAACAGACAGAGAAACGCCGCGTCAGATCATTTGTATTCTCTGGGCGATATACCTACCTAACTTATTGACTGCCCCTTCAATTACTCTCTTGACTCACGCCACTACTCTTTTTGTCTGCGTTCGCCATCCGTTTTCATACAATGGGATGGTGTGTGAACTGTGAGTCACTGCTTCGTCCGCTCACGTGACCGTCCGATGCGGCCGTTTCTCCGGCCCATTACCTCCCTCCCGGGTGATACTCTCACTTTTAGCGGCGCCGGTGGACGACCGCCGCCGGCGACGGCTTGAGAAACGGGAGAGCTACTAGGGAGCGTGTCTCCTGACACCGAGGAAAACTTCGATGTAACTACAATTACATAACACTGGTGTCCCGTCATTTCCTGCCAGTTATTATAATTAATGGTCGGTAATTATTATTCATGTATTAATCGTCAGATATAAGAAATTTGATATCCTAGTTAACTGTCATGCAATACATTATACATTTATGAAACATACAATTATGAAAATTGAAAAGTGATGCATAAAATCGACTTACCTATGTGCTAGAGTCCGCGCGGGCACATTTAGAACTCGAGTTTAGTTGCTGCCGGCCTGGAACGAAAAACAAGTATACTGAGCTGGAAAAGTGCTCTTTGCCATGATATATCATACGATCACAGTCGCCTATGAAATGCAAGGAACGGTCTGAGTTATCTCTGACTCAGTTATACTGTTTTAATGGTATTGAATCCCTCAACTATGGACTTGGGCTCATTGTTTTGATGCCGTTTTTAATTGAACTCAGCTGAATAGATGATCACAGGTTTCGTTCATTATCATCACCATTCGAGTGGAGCCACTTTCGCCGTGGTGCGGTCGCTGACAGTGTATCGGCCAGTGTACCACGTTTCTCTCCCTAACGCCTGGAGAAGGCGGCCGGGCGCGACCAACACACCCTCCTTGGCCGCTCGTGAAAGTCTGGCTCATCTCGATACCGGGGTCAGCCGCCCACTGATTGACTGGAGGTTCATCGAGGCGCGACACGGCATCTATTTTGGGATGTGTGCGGTGTTCGAGTGAGCGTTTCGGAGTGTCGGTGAGTGGGTGAGAGAGTGAATGAGTGAGTGAGCGAGCGAGCGAGCGAGCGAGTGAGTAAACGTCCCAGAGCAGAAGAGTAATGGTATGAGTGAATTTGTGAATTTTGAGTGAGTGAATGAGTGGGTGAGTGGGCTAGTGTGACTGAGTGACTACATAGGAGGAGTCTGAGGCGGCGGGAGACTCACTGGCGTCTCCTGGAACACAGGCTGCGGCTCGTCGTCGAAGCGCGACTGGAACGGCGAGGCCGGGAACTGGATGCCCGGCACGTCGATGTTGTTCACTGGCGACAAACATGGGTGCGAGGGGTCAAACGACGATGTCGACTACCTCGCCAGTCACAAACAAAAGGTATGGATCAGCCGTGGAACGCCGGATAAAGTTCGCACAAAGTATTTATCGAATATCGATCTCTCAACGATTGAGTAGGTAATCAGCTTTCAGTGATCATTGCTGCATCTGCGGTGGTCATTGATCCCACTGATGGGTTGGTTGTATTGTATTTCGTTGAACAAAAAAAAAAGGTTTGATTGCCATGTAATTCCTTTTTGCGGTTTTCATACATTTGCATGACGTGCGCACTCACCGGCGTTGGGCGAGTCCTGGAACTGGTCGGCGAATCCGCTCAGAGACGCCATGTTGGGGAAGCCCGGCGGCATCTGGAAGAAGCCGGCGCTGTTCTCGTCGGCGGCTGCGGAAGAGGAAAATGCCGCCGTCAGTTCATGGAGATAGGGGAAGCGTAGTTTAAAAATAGATACACTTTCAGACCTTCTGCAGTGTGATATGCCTACCTATTTGGACTTTGGTGTTATGTGTCACGTAACTTATAATTCCATTCAATTCTGCGTCCTGTATCCGTACCTATCCTGTCAGGATAGTTAGGCCGTTGTTATGGTTTTGTCTCAACTAATGCGCTTTGTGACCCGTCTTACTTCGAACTGCACCTCCGCAGCACCATATCCATCGCATATCACATCCATCGCATAAGTACAACGCAAAACAAAAAAACTGTCGGGGCTGCATTGTTTGTCAACGCACCTGGCCGGTTGTCTGCTGGCCTTTCGTTAAACAACTGCCGTGGTGTCAGTCTCGAGATGTCGCTGGTCTGTTCAACACTTCTTTTCCGGCGGTTCTGCGCCTGGCCTCCAAAGAACGTCCTCCGGATCTGGCTGAAGAGGCGACTGGGCAGACCGCCGTTGTCCGGCACAAAGCCTGAGTTCTGTGGCCTGCGAGCCGGGCGCGGCCGGCGACGGATGTCGTGCTCCGGGCTAAAGTTGAAGTCGTGAGTTGGATCGAAGTCCTGCTCCGGTCTGAAGCCTTGATCCCGGCGGAAGTCGTCCTCCGGACGGAAGTCCTGCGGGTGGAAGTCTTGTTGGTCACGGAACTCCTGGTGAGGCCGGAACTCATCGTGAGGTCGGAAGTCGTCCTGGGGTCGGAACTCCTGCTGGGGCCGGAACTCGTCCTGATTTCTGAAGTCCTGCTGAGGCCGGAACTCGTCCTGATTTCTGAAGTCCTGCTGAGACCGGAAATCCTGTTGGCCGCCGAACTCATGCTGCTGTCCGAATCCCTGTTCGGGACGCCGCTCCTCCGACTCGTCTCTCTCGGGGAAGAGGCTGGGCAGTGCCAGCCGGTCGATCTGCGGGCTGGGCTGCGGACCCGGCTGGAAGGCCGGCCGGCTGCGCAGGTCCTCCTGCTGCCCGCCACTGCGCCGGATGGCGTTGAATTGCTGGACGTGCCGCCGTCGCTCCAGACTCTGGTGCATCAGCGGCTGCAGGTCGGTGGGCAGCCGGCCGCTGTACGGCGCGTTCAGCATGTCCTGCAGCTTCTGCGCGATCTGACGTCTCCGCCGCCGCCCGTGGGTGGTCGGCTCTTCACCTGGAAAGGTGTCCCGGCTTCAGGCGTGACGTCAGAGCAACGGCAGGTGCTCGTGCGGGCTCGGCGTGCAAGGTGGCATGATAACGACCAACGGCGCGGCAGTTTTTCCGTGATAATTTCACGCTGGAAGCCGTGATTTTATGCTTTCTAGAGTGTAGGTGACGGCATCTGCGTCACGCGTGCATGCCTCCGTGCATCGTCTTGCATGATGGGTGCTCTCCTGCGCAATGGTTACAACACAGCTGCCTCTCGAAATGGCCACATAACGCAATTATCTCACGCGAGCTATCCTTCGCTAATTATCCGCTGCTGGTAACAGCAGTCTACCGTTCGTAACACCAAACTCATGGTGACTGTGCACCATTCATTTTCGTCACCGTGCTTCTAATGCGGCTGCCGTAAGAAACGGTTACCGACATCGTATCCGGAATGTTTGTGCATAATCGCTGAAAGAAAACTGCGCCGACTGTATGTCGATGCATTTTTTTTTTTTTCTAGGGTGCCGTCCTAAGACTCGACTCAACACAGTGCCAGTATGATATTATCAATTCAACAAACCACTTAAACTCGCAAACGTTTTCATAAGATTCACGAGACTGCTGTGAGTGTTTTGTTAGTTTTCTACTCACGCGGGAGGGCGCTGCCGGCCTGGAAGTTGGGGATCTGCGGGCTGAAGCCGCCCTCCGATTGGCGGTTCTCGGCGCCGGCAGGGTCAGCCAGCGCCGGTGGCTCCTGGGGGCTGCACACAGCGGCCGCGGGTTACATCGGGTCACAGAGGTCACAGAGGGCATGAAAGAAGACAAAGGCCATACTAGTTCACATCTCTTCCAGCTTTTTATTTTTGTTTTGTGGTTTTTAGCTTTGCGTCGACACAACAAACCTGAAAGCATGATTTTGTCTATATGAGAACTTACTCTGTATGCCGCCCAGCAATAATCTGGTCTTAGTTGTAAAAGATTGCGATCAATATACATTTACACATTTAAAGACAGTCCACTGTCTATATGTGATTGTGAGCCAGCTCAAAATCCTCATAAACCCTTATCAGTAGAAAGATCATCAAACGTTTAATTCGTCACAAAACATGATACATGTCGAGAGCAGTGGGCACTCACACGAAGGCCTGCAGCAGGGCTCCAGACGTGTCCAGCTGTCTCCTCCTCAGCATCGAACCTGGGGAAGCGATATCAGGCTGATTACTGGGATTTACGGCTCGAGGGGTCAATCACCGGTCTGTGTTCTATGAGGGAAGCTTCGAAAAATGTTTTCGAATGATATATGAGAAAATGTTACGGTACAAGTTACAAGAAGAAATAGAAAATACTTTATATCTATTATATTTATTTACGTCAGACCCTGATGCTTAGTGTCAACATCAGCCGTTGAAGTGACACTTCAGACAAAAATATTTGGAACAAAACTTTTGGTCCAAAAAGTACCGCCGCACTGTAAACACGGACTACAAAACCCAAGCAAGGTAGGTGGAAGTTGAACCCTTACCGGCTGAGGCGGCGCCGGCCAGGGCCAGCAGCACGAGGCAGGCAGCGCGTGCAGACGCCATGGTGATGCGCGACCGACTGGCCCGCCGCCGGCGCCCACCGAGCCTTTATAGTGAGCGGTTTCTCCGGAGCTGTAGGCGCCCTCCCGGCCGAGCTCTGATCATCGGCGCATGTCCATTGTTTGGCAGATATGGTAGAGATACGATGGTGTTCAGGGTGGTAGACTTCTGTTTATAGAATGCAACACAATCAGCTGATAAATGATATAAAGGGGCCACTTCTCAGTTCTCATGTATCACAAAGCTGCTCGCCAACAACAAAAACCCACTTTTATCATTCATCTGACCCAGGGCTGCGGTTTAGATGGATTTTTGGTGACTCCTACTCCGACTCCGACTGCAACTTCGACTCCGGACTCTAAGCCAACGTTGTAATGGTAAAGTTTATACCGAAGATGCTTTTAGCTTGCCTGAAACAATTCCTGGCGAGTCCCAAGATGTTAATTTGCAAAATACCTCTCAAGTTAGCCCCAATGAACTGAAAACAGGCTCTGGTGCATCTTTTGATTTCCACTCTAAAATTGTTCGTCCAAAACGGCAGTATAGTCTTATCTTCGACAAAACCAGTCCTGGGTAATATTTTCCGAGGACCAGGTGTCGAGCATGACTGAGCATTACAAAGTCAATTCCGACTCCGGGCAGAACTGTCGTCTGTCGACTCCGACAGACTCCGACTCCTATACTCTGACTCCACAGTCCTGATCCGACCTCTGACATCATCTATCGACCTGAGGCCTTAAAAATGGTTACTATTAGAGATAGGAGCGTAGAACAATGCACGCGTCTATTTCGCAAAGTTCTAGCTCAGGAGGGGGTCACACGCGACAGCGGGTTGTGTCGCCCTTGTGCGGTCGAAAAATGCAAAATGCCGGCGAGTGTGAAGAATTGAAGATGCATTTGGACTCTTACAGAAAATTTTTGTTTACTCTCGAAAGCGCATTCTGTTCCAATTTCAATTCTAACTAAACTTTTGCAACTAAATATTCAACTTTTTTTTACACATCGGTTCAAAGCTTTGTACTTCATCGATAAGCATGATGCTCATCTCTCCATCTTTCACGGTACAGTGAAGGAATGATTTTCTGCTCCGGTGACAACACACGCCTTGGTCGTTTTACTTGTCACGTATGCTGACTGACGATACCCTGACAGGCATGGCTGGCCTTTGTTGGACTATGTGCGGCTGTTGACCCGGCACTGAATAATGGTAGCGGCGATCAGCTTTCTAGTGACCGGGTCAGCACTCGTTTCTCCGATGATGCTGAAGATGCCGGAAGGGAAGGTGGAGATGGGGAGAAAAGAGAGAGAGAGAGAGAGAGAGAGAGAGAGAGAGAGAGAGAGGGGAGAGGAGATTAAAATAGACAGGTGAATACAGAAACAGAGAGATAGGTAGGCAGAGAAATATTGACAGCGACAGGGTGAGAGGGGGTAAGAACATTTTCTTGACATAGTTGCACGCCAGGACACGGCCAGCCAGCAAACAAAGTTTCAGTGAATATCACACTCCCCTGAAATAGCCAAAAATGCTCGTAAACCGCATTATGGAAGACCATCACCATCAGCCCGGCTGGCTTTGAAGAAGTTAAGCTGTGTTGTGATAGTGAATTATGCCAATAATGAACCGTGTTTTCATCAACGTCGGACACAACCTCCCATTAGAAGTCATGACCACTGGTAACACAATTAGAAAGGTAGGATAGTGTGAAGCAGAAGTCCAAACATCAACTTGGCGTGAAGCTTACTCAATACAGGTCGGCTGACTCCCTCTCACATGACCAGCGATGCTCCTCTGCAACCATCCATTCAACCATCCATTCAGCCAACAGCCGCGGTATCAAACTCATGTAGTGCGGAACAGCATACCACCCCAGGCGTTCGGCCGGCGCGGCTGCTGTTTTTTTACGCAGGGAGACTGCACGAATGTACAAAAGACTAGCACCCAAATTAGCCCGAAAAGGAGACTGCAGTGGCGCATATAACAACACCACGAAGTGTAACAAATGCGAGTATTTCTGGATGGCATTATTAATTCTGTGCAAGTATGTATTAACATGCATCAAAGTCATACTCACGTATTTAAAATGTTCTTTTTTAGACTTTTGCTGTGTGGCATATCGATCTTTAATAAAATGACCAGGAAGGGGAGGACCTGGAAATAAACACGAATACCTATATCGTTATAGCAGAACGTGTCCGACTTCCGATATATAAAATAAAATGTAATGAAAAAATCGTGACGTCATGAGAAACTGTGTTTTTAACAATGATAAGTACGTTTGACTTTTGTTCTTTAACCCTATTAGTGGCAGGGGGGGTTGTTTTTATCCACCCCTCAGGTTTTTCGGGAATATCTCCGAAACCGCTGAAGCTACGATGCTGAAATTTTCTGACTTTTCCTAAAACTACATTGGGCACATTCTCTGAAAATTTCAAGTTCATACCTTTACCAGGGGCGGCTCCAGAGCACTGGGAATTGGGGGGTCCTATTCGTGAAGCGAGTCATTTGGGGCGAAGATCACGATGCTGATGTATTATAACTGTATACACCAGTTTTACGAACATTGAATGAAAGGTATCATGTGATAACATATACAAAGTTATTGTGCATCCTCTTTTGACACGTTTATGCTATAATAGGCGGATCCAGGCGTCCAAAAAGGGGGTTATGTTTTACCTCCCAACATAGGTGCCCTGATACCGCCTATGCATGACCAATACAATTGTAGTCGTTTTCTCATAAGAAAATTGTAACATAACAAGACCATTTCCACCCTTTTTAGAAACAGTACCAACAAAAACCTTATTTACATACTTTTTGTGTACCCCCAATCTCAATGATCTGTATCCGCCTATGATTTTGAAAATGCATATTTTTAGGATCCATGTGAATTCCTGGTTCATTCTCTATCGATCGGCAAAAGTTGCGTTAAGATTGGTTCAGAAACCTGGCCGTGATAAACAGTCTAAAATGTATCTGCAATTTGCCCGTTTTTACCCCCCTCTAACCCCCCCCCCCCTATTGACATTTTTTAATTTTTATTTTTTAGAAATGTAGATCACGTTGAGCGAAATCGAATGCCGTTTGAATTTTGAAAATCGGCCCGTTAGATCTCGAGATATCAAGGGGGGGTCGTAAACAGCCCCGCCCCCTGCCACTAATAGGGGTAGCCAGGAGCCTGCCACTAGTGGTGTCAATTTCAGAAAACGTATGTTTAATGTCCGTCCAATGTCCAATACTTACGTCGACTGTCCGTCCAAAAATGTCCAAGCCAGCCATTTGTCCAAAGATGTCCGACATCTACGCAATAATTTACACTCAACACCGTTATTTAATTCGCTTTTAATGTATCGTTACCAGCTCAAAAGTGTTAATCATATGGAAAACTGAGCTTTCTAATGGCCAATCAATGTTAAACACGATTACTTTATAAAAAAAAATGAGGTGTAGCAAGCGATTGTCCAAAGTTGTCCAAAGCCCGCTGTCATTGTCCAACCAAATTCCGAATTGGACATTGGACAAAATCGGAATTCCGAAGATTCAAGTTCCGATTGACACCACTACCTGCCACTAATAGGGTTAAGTGGCTTTAAGTAACTATAGTTCGTTTTTTTTTTTCAAAAGGACGCTGGCTCCAAGTATGTTTTTCGAACAAGCACGTGTTTTAGCGGCAGTGGCGCGGGAACCGGGGGGGCTAGGGGGGGCTGAGCCCCTCCAACTTTTCGGCTGGGGGGGCTCGTAATGTATTTGAGCCCCCCCCCCCCCAGCTGGAGGAATCGAAATCGGAAATTTACCAACACAATTTCATAGATTCATACATGGGCGCGGGAACCGGGGGAGAGGGCAGTGGGGGAAGCTTGCCCTCACAACTCTGGGGCCGTGGGGGCGGTGCCTCACAACTTTTCATGAGGCCAGGAACCGTTGGGGCAGCTTGTCCTCCCCAAATTAGGGGTTGTGAGTCACAAAGAAAGAAAGCATGTAAGTGAAAAATCTACCTATTTTACTGACTCGGCAACTCATTTGGCAGCTTAAAACCTTTATTCCAGGTTGCCAAAACGGTAGTTTCTTCACTCAGCTGAGACGGAATACCTCACTTTTTTGCAAATATTTTCTTCTTTTTTTTCGTTGAAAAGGCCAAGGTCTGAAAAATAAGTGGCCTAAAACCGATGAGAAAACTAGATTTGGGGGTACAGTAGGTCTACTAAAAAAGTCCCCCGCTCCAGAGGCGGCCGGCCGGCCGAACCCCCGGATTCCAGCCCCGACTCTATTGCGCAGGCCGCGGCAGCGACACGGGTCAGGTCGCGGCGCCTGGCGAGTGGGTCAGTTGGCGGCGGCCGGCCGTGGAGTGAGGACGCGCTGTGTGGGGCGCAGAGGTGCCGCATGGCAGAGGAGGGGAAGATAATGACTCTGCACGATGCCGGAAATGATGCCTTTGTGATCTAAATTAAACACCTGCAGTGCATATCCTCTCTTGCCCCATTCCTATTTTATCATAATCCTTCAATAATCCGTAATGGCCATTCAACGCAAGCAAGCAAACAAAACAACCCGTTTAGCGGCGACATCATCTCGGATAAAAAACGACAGTGATGATTAAAATAGACTTAGCGCGAGGGCAAATCGAGGGGTATAACTATATGTATCACATACCGATTATTTTATTCCCATCTAGCGAATTAAGATTGGGGATCTTGTCCAATAAGTCAGCGGCCGTTCTAGACACAGATAAATGCTTTGTTTTCGGTCGCATAATCATCTGCAATAATTCGAAGCGAGGTTTAACCCTCGCCGGCCGAGAAGAAGTGGCGGCCATGTATTTTTTGCGGTAGCTCAAAGCACACTGATGATAGAAGGCTGACATTTCACATGCCTTACATTTGATTCAAGCCGGATCACTTGACATCAACCACGTTTTCAGGTCAGGTCACTTAACTATGACGTCTTAAGTAAACCTCTGCACGGTTGTCGGTTATAAAATGATGCAATCCGCAATGCACTTAGTGTCATATAAGCATAATGGGGAATTGTGGAAACTGTTAATTTGGCGTCGCA